AACAAGCTAGCTGGAGATGGTATGAAAGGCTTACATCTTTTCTCCTTGAACATCACTACAAACAAGCTAATTCAGATCACTCTTTGGTTGTGAAAAATGCTTTATCAAATATTACTATTTTAATAGTATATGTTGATGATGTCATTCTAGCAGGTAATGACATGAATGAGTTTAATTCAATTAAGTTGGCATTGGATAACACATTCAAGATCAAGGATTTAGGTACGTTGAAACACTTCCTACGCATTAAAGTAACTCAATCCAAAGCACGCATATTTCTGAATTAGAGAAAATAGTGTCTTGATCTATTGGAGGACTCAAGCTTCATTGAATCAAAACCAATCACCACTCCATCTGATCCTGCTATTAAACTGCACCAAGACTCGAGCATGCCTTATCATGACACTCCTTCATACAAAAGGCTTGTAGGTCGATTGTTGTATTTAAACGCAACAAGACCTGACATAACATTTTGTACACAACAACTTAGTTAGTTTCTTGCAGCTCCCACAGTCACACACTTCAATGTTGCTTGTAGAATTTTGAAATATCTCAAAACTTGCCTAGCTCGAGGTATTCTCTTCCCACAAGACTCAGCCTTACAATTGAATGGTTACTTTGATGCTCACTGGGTAGGGTGCATAGACACTAGAAGATCAGTCCCAGGCCAATGCTTCTTCCTTGGTAGATCACTCATATCTTGGCGCACAAAGAAACAACTCACAGTTTCTCGACCTTCCTCAGAAGCTGAATATAGAGCTCTTGTAGCAGCCACTTGTGAACTTCAATGGCTCTTGTATCTCATGTAAGATCTGCACATCAAATGCAATAGAACCCCTGTGATTTACTGTGACAATAACAATGTTATCCACATTGCTTATAATCATCTTTTTCATGAAAGGATAAAACATTTGGAAATAAATTGCCATATCGTGCGAGAGAAACAAAGCAAATGTGTCTTAAAACTTCTGTCTGTTAAGTCCAAAGACCAGCTTGCTGATTTATTCACCAAGCATTACACCTTCAACCCTTCAATTCCTTATTAGTCAAGTTAAAGATGATAAACATCTACCAACCTTCAACATGTGGGGTGATATTGAAGTATAAAGATGATGATAATGAAACAATAGAAAAAAAGAAGATTACACCTCCAACAAAAAAGGAACAAGTTAGTTGAGTTAGTTACAGGGTTGTTAATGTTAGTTACTTACACCCTAAAATACTATAGGGTATGCTATGGTGTAGTGAATTAGAATGCATTACACTACTCTTGTATATATATCAACATTGTAATCATCTACTCCTTAACGAGAATCTCTCTTCATCCTTTCTATCATGTTAATGTTTGATCAATTTAATAAAAATAATTATTATATATAATTCTATCAATTAAAAAATCTAATTTAAATCTTTAAATATCATAAAACGGCAAGAAAAAAAATAAAAAATAGCCCTCGCCCAATAAATGGCCAAAAATTGTCTTTAGAAATAGCATTCTTTCATTTATCATAATAACTAAAGTTACAAAGTTATGTCACACTAAAGTTTCTAAAGCCATTTCCACAATAGAAGTGAGCATATGAATCCAGAGCATTGAAAAAGATTGATCCTATTAATAGTAGCATATAGTAGATGCCAAATTTCACACTCTTATTAGTCATACATAGCCATAGTAAGGGACCCCCCTAGCAAAAAAGAAAAAAAAGCTCAACCTCCTACGTGTCTCCACAAGCCTCACTTGATCTCAGATTCCATTTTTTTAACTATTATTTTGTACTTTCCATCTTGTTCTATAGTACATTCTAGAGTAAGTATGTTACTGCACTCTCATTTACTTCAAATAATGGTGTTGTATGTTTCATTGAATCTACCTTCCTAACAATCTCACAGTAATAACTTCTAGGGTTATCTTTAGGTTTCTGACATCATATGTGACATGGCTTTCACTTAAATGAATTTAGATTTGGACCCCACATTTTGGCCATATAGAGATATGCTTATGCTGACACTTTGTCCATTGCTTCTAGTTGTGCCATTTTTATCCTAACTTTCTCTCTTTAAAGCATGTTAACTCTATTGACAAAAAAACAAAAACAAAATAAAGGGTACACTACAGTGTATCATCATCAAGCCTAAAATATAATGCATTTTCTATTTTTGGTCATTTATAGATAACTCAGCCAAATTATTCTCATCTCTATATTTATGATTATCATGGCAATTGAAGTGATAGTTTGTTTGAAAGAATACTAGTACTTATTTGACTTGATATTTACAATTTTTTTTTAAATTTATTCAAATGAGTTTTGCCAAAGTTTGAGTTTGAAGTGAATTAATTTATATTTCAATATGTTTATTAGCTCCAAAAATAAGTTTGTTAAGAAATTGTGTGAAGTTTGTAAATTAATACAACTGGTTGCATTTCATCCCTTATAATCAAACCTACCATTTAAGATGAAGAAAATTGATCTTATATGAAATCACACTAAGTTTGCGATTCAAAATCTTAATTATCAATGAGATAAACTCCTTTGACATATTCAGAGAAATTTTCTTAAAACTAACAATAAGACCTGAAATCATCTCTAACTCGCCCAGAAGCGATTTTCCTACCCATACATTTCTAATTGAAATCTTGCCAATAAAAAATATATCATCGGCATATTAAATATATAAGAATTCATTATAATTTTTGTTGAGTATAAATTATATTATTGAAATGATTATGAGTTGAGGGTAACTGAGGATTAGAATTTAGGTAAATTAAACTCTAGTATTATTTATATAACTTATACTGCTAAAAACTTAATTAATTCACAACACGGAAATAAAGAGAATTATAGATTTTCAATAGTCGCAGAGGTAGGTATCATTGGTTGTACTACGTTAACAATGATCAATGTGTTCATTGTCTTTTACTTTTGTTTATCTTTAATCTTTTATACTGGTTGTTGTTCTAACAATTGGTATCAGATGCCAATCAACCTTGGTGCAAAATTCTAAATAACAAGGTTCAACAAGACACATAATTTTGCATTATGGCAAAGAAGGGTTAAAGATATGTTGGCACAGAAAAGTTTACAGAAGGCGCGTGAGATGAAATTGAACGACATGAAGGATATTGATTGGACAGAGAGGAAGGAAAAGGCTGCATGATTGATTCATCTACGTGTTTCAAACAAGGTGATGTACCATATTCTGGACTTGACCACTCCGAATGAGGTATGGGAAAAAATGAATAGTCAGTATATGTTAAAGACGGTGATGAATAAATTATTCGCTAAGAAGACTATATAGTAAGAAGATGCAAAAAGGATATGAGTTGCAACATGTCAATGTCTTCAACAACATAATCATTGATATATTGGAGCTTGGAGTGAAGATTGATTACGTAGATAAGGAAAATTATCTTGCTCTACTCGTTATCAAGTTCTTATGACCACTTGGTAATTACTCTTACCTACGAAAAATATACTATCAATCTTGATGTGATTACAGGTACACTTTTGTCTCATTCTCAAAAGAGACAAAGTGTAGAAGAATGAAGTTACATTGACGGTTTGTATGTGAAATATGGTCAAAATTGTGGGCAAAACAAGGGAATGGAAGTTCTGTAAAGAAGATGTCTAAATCCTATAATCGTAAAACAAATGAGTGTTATATTTGCAAATAAATTGGACATTAAAAGAGGGATTGACCAAATAGAAAACATGGTTCATCCATCTCTGCAAATGTGATTCAAACTGATGATTCTGATAATGAAGCAGATATACTATGTGTTTTATCCAGGAAGTGCATAGATACATGGATTCTTGACTCAAGTTCTTACCACATAACGTTGCATCGAAAATGGTTCACTACATTCAAATCATGTAATTTTGAATGTTTTTCTAGATGATGATAAATCATGTACTATCACTAGAATCAGACAAATTAAAAATATCATGAATAATTATAATGTTTGAACATTAAAAGTCAAATAATTTTAGAATTGAGAAACAACTTAATATCCTCGAGTACTCTTCAGACAAATAGTTTCTCCTACATATTTGATATATAAAAAAAATCATTCGTAAATTGAAAATACGAGAATTCTTATAAATTGAACCCAAAATAAACCATTTTAAAATTCTCACTACACCTATTTTTCTCATAAGGTCACTCAGGCCTAACCACAATAAGGAAAAGGAAGGAGAATCAATGTCTTGTTTTTCTTAAGACCTTTTCTTTAAAGTCCATCAATGTTAGAAAGTCTTAGAAGCATTTGGACAAATAGTACACACTATATGCAAGCAAGTTTATTTTACATACATTCAAGTATACTCTAATATGTAGACATTTTTGTCTTGATACTTTAAGAAATAATATACCATCTAAACATGACAACATCTTTATGATTGATCACAACTATATTCTCTTCACATTAAGCTTAAAAAATATGAAATGAATGCTATTCATTTGACTTTACATAACTAACACCAAAATGCAACAACAACCACCAACATTGAGTTTCTTTCTTTTTTTTTTGAAAAGAGTAAGGTAAATCCTAAACCTCACACATAGACATCATAGTATATCACATATCCAACAAAAAATGTCGGTGTCACGGCGCCTCCCATATTATCAAATGCCAGCCATTCATTCAATATTCAATGTGAAATGAAAACACATTAGTTACGGCAAAACCACACATTTCATCACCAAATATGGACCCTAAATGCTTAACTTACGTCTACTTAACACATAGACTTTTTGTACACACATGCTTCCCTAATTAACACTCAACTTTTATAACTGACTTTTCTTCCCTACCTACCATCTACTTCCATAAATATTCAACAAAATGTCACCCTACAAATATATCATTTTTCTTTATATACATCAAAGGTGAATGCATTAACAAATAAAAGCTAATCTAGCTAGCTTTTTTTTTTAACTTGGTGACCGAATTAATTATTACAAATCTATACATTGACTAAGAAATTCACTCATTCTTGATGTTATTGTGGCTTCTTGTGTGAGCAAGTGCACTTTGCTTGACAATCTTGAAGCTTCTATACAAGTGTGTATACATAGATCCAAACATGTCATGTGTGGAAACAAAATTAATTAGATAAATTATAAGATATTGATATGATTGAGATATTGCTTTTTGAATTACCTGAGCTTGCTTTTGAAGGTCTTTGATGTAATCCACAGCCAAGTCTAACATATCTGCTGTATTTGTTTGCTGCAAATTTACACAAGTTAAAACCAATCATGAAGCATTGTGTCTGTTGAGTATGGCTCATAATCGCAGTATAACCCTAATTCACTCGAATGATAATATGCTCTATAGTCACAGATGTAGGCATATTTGACTGAACTGCGTTAACAAATATTGTGTCTTATACCTTATCCATGTTTGGGACGAGATCTTGTAGCTTTCTCATACGTTCACTAATTTTAGTCCTTCTAACCTGAAGACATATACGGAAAATAAGTCATCGGACTCAAATGTTTAATGAACTTCAGTTAAAATCGAATTGTTTGTGAAAACCCTAATGTCGATCATGGCTAGAATGATTTTTTACTAAATTTTACTTACTTCTTGATAAGATAAAAATAAAATTATAACCTTAAACCAATAATCCATACCCTCTCGGCTATGCTTCTTGGGTGAGTAGCACAACCGCGCTTTGCGCGAATTTTCATCGGAACAGAATCCGAGAAATGCAGAAACTTCTCAATAGCTGCAATTTCAGATGAAGTATTTGGCATACTCAACTGATGAGCCAATGGAGAAGATGAATGTCCTCCTGTTTCATTCTAATCAACCACAGCAAAATCATGTCAAATTATCGGGCAATCTCATATTAACGGCCGAGATCGTCTAATGCACGAAAAACTTCGTGAAAATAAAAGTTTAAACCATGTAACATAGTAATCTACCTGAACTACAACTGCATTAAAACCTGCAGAAAATTGTTGTTTCGAATCACTATCTCTAAATCTTTTTAAACCACCAACATTTTCGGACATCATTTCGGTATCATCCCAAGTATCAACAACCTGATAATCCGCGATATAATCGTTTCCGTGACTTTCGCCAAAAACTTCACTTTCTAAATTATTTTCTTCATTGCATTTGTCCCCAACTTCAGCTATTGTTGACATTATCCCAGATGAATAGTTTGCTGAATTCTTCAAACTCCTTCCAGTAGAAAATTTTGCATCTTTCATAGAACTATTAACAGCTCCTAAATTTCCCATTCCTCTCATACTAACATACCCTGCCAAAAATAAAACTTAATAACTAAAATTCTCACTAGGCTTTTATGAACCACTAAACACAGACACACAGACACCGATACAGACACAACACTAATATGAAACACTAATAATAATTTGAAACAATGAATAAATTAAAAGTAATAACATGTTTCAGTGTTGTATCTGTGTCCAACATTGACATAGACCTATAGACACAGACACATTTTTTTCTGAGATGTTGGGAGGTTGTGACTGCAATATATAATATAATGTTAAACATAAAAGGTAAATATTAAAAAATATATTCAACCCTAAAGAGATCTATAAAATATAGCATCATAAATCCCCTGAGAAGAAAATTTTAAAAATACCATTTTTTCCTAGGAAAAATAATTTAAATCATTAATAAAATAGAAATTGGACATACCATTTTCAATGTTGATTTGAGAAAATAATCCAGCTGGTGAACTACTATGTCTAATAAGATTAGAATTATTTCCACCATGACTCTTCATCTGAAAACTTGCATCCAAACCAGAAACAACATTCTGGTTTGGCAAAGGTGGCATCACTGAGGTTTGATAAAAACCATGAGAAGAAACAGGGTTGTGTTCATAGTTATTACTCTGATGATGATGAATCATGTGTTCTTGTTCTTGTTGCTGTTCTTGTTGTTGTTGGTTAATGTTAACATTAACAATCTCTTCTTCTTCTTTTACCGTAGATTCAACAGAGATTTTTGGAGTGAGTAAATCTTCTTCTGAACCTAAACTGTTCATAAACCTTGAAAATACTCGCTCTGTTTCTGGACTTGAAGGTCGATTGAAAACATGCTCGTAGAATTCTTTGTCAATGATGTTGTTGAAATATGAACTTGGTGCTGAACGATACCGAGTTAAACCTGAAGGATTAGCCTGTGGTTGTTGCTGCTGATGAAGATCTGACTCCATAGATTTCTACTCGAATTGAATTTTTCTTCTTTCAAAAACTAAACTTTCTTTGACCCTTTTTTCAGATCTATAAGAAGAAAAAAATGATTAAGTTGTTTTTGGAGTTTGAAGTTTGAAGTGTGATGTATGTTGAGTGCATAAGAAACAGGACAAAACAGAGGAATGGAAAATGAAGAAAATATATATATAAAAAATTATGAGAAAAATATGAATATTTATTTTATTAGTTATAGAGAGAAGGTTAAGGGAAGAATAATAATTTATTTATTTATTTATTTTTTAAAAATTGTATGAAGAGAACAAGAAGAAGAACACGAACCTCTGTTTGAAAAACAGAACACTTTTTATTTCTGTGTTAATGTTGTTGTTGTGGTTTGAGTGGTGGAGATGCTTTTAGCTGTAATGTGTTGTTGGAAAGAGAAAGAAAGGAAAGAAAAGAATATATTTTTATTTGTGTAGCCAATAGAAAGTGAAAAACATGGTTGAAGGATTTGGTGTAATAAATTTTACAAAAATGTCCTTGATTTTGGGAGCAGGGTGAGGGTGACACGTGAGGAGTTGACAGAGGAGAAAAGGGGAAAAAGATGATTTAGTTTTGGGGAAAGCAATGTAGGTTTTGATAAAATTGGAAGGATACCAGGTAAAGTGGACTTTATAATTGGCTACACAGCTGCATCTCACACACTAGAAAAAAACTAAGATTTACACCAGTAAAAAGGTACTCTTCTTCTGTCAAATTGGTATTGGGTGAAATTATATTGTTTTGAAGGTACATCTGTCAAATTGGTATTGGGTGAAATTATATTATTTTGAAGGTACATTTTGGAGAATTGTGAAATAAAAAATTTATTTGAAAAAAAGTTTTAGTTAAAAAGAAAACTTTTATTAGATAAATATTGTTGAACGTAAAAGTTAGTTGAAGGACTAATATTTTTCTATAGTGTTTTGTTAAGTTATTTTAGGTTGTTAAGAGATATCAAAGGTAATATAGTGCATGTCCAAATCTGCAACATCTCAATTGTTTATTTTTAAAGGGTGAATTTCAGCTACAAAGTTACTTGACCAAAAAATATCTCTGAATAGTTATTACATTTTTTTAATTGATTGTGCTTAATGAGGAATGAGGTGATGAGTTATCATGAGGGAAAACCATTTACATTGAGTCAAACATTCACCTAAAAGTCAAAGATTCACCCAAACAAGTGAAAGAGATATCACATGTTCACCCAAAATTTTAAGGTGATAAGTTCATGGGTCATCTTACTTATAAAGTGTTCAACCTCCATTTTTCTAAGCAATGTGGGACTAAGAACTCACACTTGTTTCTCAATACAACTCACACTTATTCTCAACAATCTCCCACTCAAGTGTGAGTCCATCCTTTATACTCCCCTCAAGTGGAAGCTCTTTCATCCACATGCTTGTACCGCGTTGACAGACACCCTTGTCTCGCATGGGTACTTCAGCGAAACATGTCGTCTGACCATCATGTCAGGAAGACTTTCGACACAAAGAGTCGGTCTCTTACTTGAACCGAGCTTTGATACCACTGTAGGGTTATCATGAGGGGGAATGACTCACATTTGATCAAACATCCATCTAAAGGTTAAATACTCATCCGAACAAGTGAGAGAGACACCATATATTCACCCAAAACCTTAAGGTGATAGTTGTATGGAACCTCTTACTCATGAAGTGTTCAACCTCTACTTTTCTAAGCAATGTGAGACTTAGAACTGATACTTGTAAGTTTATTCGCGGTCTCTAAGAGGGGGTGAATTAGATTTATTAGACTTTTCTCAATTTGAAGCGTTAGCATTGGTTTTGTTATTTTTCAGAAATAATATGAAAGTAAATATGCTGAAAAATAAATGCAGAAAATAAAAGACACAATGATATATCCTGGTTCCACTCACAATCTAAGAGTACTCCAATCCCTTCACTCCCCATGAGAGATTTTCCACTATACCAGATCTTTGTACACCTTTTCTGCCAAGACATATCCTACAATCTTCTAACATAAGCAACATAATTAATAAGGACAATCCCCTTATGATCTTTACAAAGTGCAACAAGAGAACAATCATCCCTTATTCACTCTCTCGCTTCCAACAATCCTGGACAACGAGGAAATCACAACAATCTAAATTTTTACAAGTGTTTGAAGTTGTATAACAATGTATATCAATTCTTAGAATTGATCTTTTCTATCAAGTAGGTAATTCACAATATGTAACACAAGTACTCATTGATTATAGTGTTGAAACTTTAAGAGATGAATGAAAATGTATGCAGTAAGTTTCAAACAAAAATTTAAGTCACAAGGCACTTGTTTTAAAAATGAGAGAGTAATGAGTTTAAATTGCTATAAAAGAGAGATGTTTTCAAAATATGATTTGCATGGTTTGTATAGTGCCTTAACACCTTTCTAAAAGTGTACAAATACATGAAAAGATGACATGGTTCAAAAATGCTTTCAAAAATTCGTTTACATCATAATTTTCATGAAAAAGTGTCACTGGTTCACTGGTAATCGGTTACCATAAATGGTGTAACTGGTTACACCTGACACATTTTCAAAAATTATGGTATTTCTAAATTTTGAGTAAATGATGAAAATTGTGGCGGTTTTAAAGTGTTGTTACGACGGTTTGAAAGGCCACAATTTATCAAAAACAGAATGGTTAATTTAAAAATCATTTTAAAAGATGTATGAAAGATTTAAGATGAATATGCATGATTTTTATGAGCAATTAAGATATATATATATATATATATATATATATATATATATATATATATATATATATATATATATATATATATATATATATATATATATATATATATATATATATATATATATATATATATATATATATATATATATATATATATATATATATATATATATATATATATATATATATATATATATATATATATATATATATATATATATATATATATATATATACTTGAATTGTAATGCATATTCAACCATCTTGATTCTTCCAATAATTTTTCAAAGCCTTTTGATAATTTGAACTTGATTGCTCTAGTCTTCAAGCTTTGACTCTTCTTGTTATTGATGTGTTTGTCTTCATTAAAACTATAACTGTTTTGGACTGGCCTAATGGCCAGGCATGGCCCAACCCACTTCTGCGCCCAGAACGGACCAATAGCCTTAGCCCTGCCAACGATTAGTTTCTAGCAGTTACCTATTCTTTGGGAGTGAATATCTCTCCCCGAAAATAGGGACCAATGGCCAAGCGCTTGGGGCATTATAAAAATCCTCTCACTTGAGATGGTCAGGTATTCTAAATCATTCTAAGATATACACTCTTTGTACTTTCTGTCATACCCCAAATTTTGACCCCTTAGATCTTCATCATCATTTTAGGAGCATGTTCACATGATTATCTAACCTTAACCTGTTTCAAGTTGTCTCTGTCAAGTTACAGGAGAATCAGGGTTTTGTACAGCCGAAATTGAGGGTTCGAGGGTTAACCAGTCAATGTCTTGGATTGGTTCTCTTTGGGATTGGGTCTCCACATCATCAAACGTATTCCATTGGATCAAGCATGAATCCAATTTGAGGTTGTCACCCAGGAATCAAAAGCAGTGAAGTTCAGGATACCCGATTAGGGTTTTCCAACAGGAAAAGTCAACGGTGGTTTGACTTTTGATTTAAAAGGTGTTACAATGGTGGGATTATGGTCCATAGTGTTCATATGGCTTGGTAAAGTCCATTCAAGAAGTTTCAAAGCCTCAAAAGGTCCAAAGCATCAACAGTCGACTCGGTAGCCACCGATCGATCGTTCGATTGACCGAAAAATAAACTCTTCACTCATAATGAATCTGACCTCAAGATGTGAATAAAAAATGTTCCTAATGACATATTTCATCTACCCATAAAATTTCATGACCATTGGATCAAGGGTTGAGGAGTAGTCGCAAAAGTCGGGAATTAGGGTTTTGAAAGGGGCAGGACCATAATTCCTTAACCACACATCCAATTGAGTTAGTTCAAAGCTCATTAGAAAGCTCTTGGAAATTCCTACAAAAGTCCCAAACTGGTCCATAATCATAAAATGCATAGATTTGGAGTTATGATCAAATTCATTTCAAGAAGAGAAAATAACTTAGAGAAATTTCACTTTTAGGCTTGTTTTTCAGCAACTTTGAGAGGCTTTTTGGCCAAGCTCCTTTGAGAATCTGAAACTCATGAAAACATGAAAGTTATAGAGTTACATGAGGAATTTCCAAATTGTGGTAGAACTCTTCCATAGCCCTTATGAGCTGAGAGTTATGAATTTGGCAAGATGGGCTTTTAACACTTGAGTCCCACATTGACAATTCTTCACAAATTCAAATTTCAACAACTTGGGCCATCCCCAACCATTGGATCATGTTTTATTCTGATAACTTGAGGCCTAGATGAAGAGAAAACAAGAATAAAGAAGGAATTGATGGACTTGGCAACTTGGAGGCAAGTTGACAATATAATATTCATAAAATTGGAAAGAGAAACTTTTTGCCACTTGCACTTGCAGCTGCAGTTCCCTATTTTCCTAGCCACTTTAATCATATCATGTCATTAATTTTCACTTTAATAATTCATCATTTGAGGAAAAACTTTGAAGCTTGCAGCTGTACCAAACCCCAAGCCAAGGGTTTCCTTTTCAAAATCTCTCCAAAATGCCAAGTTTACAAATATGCCCTCACCTTGCATTCTCCTATAAAAAGGGGCTCCCTCTATGTCATTTACATACCATAGTACTCTTATAAACCAAGAGAAACAATAGCTCTCAACTCTCCACCATTTTCACAAAAGCTTGATTTTTCAAAAACTTCAAGTTTCATTAAAAAGTTGTCTTGAGCAAAACTCTGCTCAAACTCAGTTCTACCATTTCCAAGCCACCCAAAACCATTTACACAATCCATAAACATTGTGTAGAAGGTGCCCATACACTCAAACCACCTCAAACCATCATTTT